TTGGCTGAACAAACTGTGAATGCACACGCATAATATCATGCATGCATGCCCACACATATGTCTATCGCAATGAACCACATCTTGTTTCATGCCCAAACCACCTGTCTAATCAATGATGAATCAAACCTAGAAAAGTTCCATTCACTTAGCAATCAGTGGTTCTTGATTGATCAGTTACTTGTACCGCTTCCATTGTTACAGAGTGAAATACCATCAGGTATCCATGGTTTTTAAATTTATAGGTCAGCACTTATAGATTTAATCATTTAAATGGCTACACCACTCTAAACATCATTGATTATTTAGGAAAAATCTGGAATTAAAAAAGAAATTTCATTATGCTGACAGTAAGCAATTAATATTACAGCCTTTGTGAGAACATATCTTCCAGGAGTCAAAGACAATCAATAGTATGTCCTTTAAGGAAATTAAAAGATTAAAAATATTCTCAGGAATATTGAACATTATACATTTCAAACTTTAAGATAAAAAAGTTTATTTTGTCAGTATTTATTACTGTATGTAACAGTCAGTATTTACTGTATGTAACAGTCAGTGTTTACTGTATGTAACAGTCAGTATTTACTGTATGTAACAGTCAGTATTTACTGTATGTTACAGTCAGTATTTACTGTATGTAACAGTCAGTATTTACTGTATGTAACAGTCAGTGTTTACTGTATGTAACAGTCAGTATTTACTGTATGTAACAGTCAGTACTTACTGTATGTAACAGTCAGTGTTTACTGTATGTAACAGTCAGTGTTTACTGTATGTAACAGTATTTACTGTATGTAACAGTCAGTATTTAATGTATGTAACAGTCAGTGTTTACTGTATGTAACAGTCAGTGTTTACTGTATGTAACAGTCGGTTTTTACTGTATGTAACAGTCAGTATTTAATGTATGTATAAGTCAGTATTTACTGTATGTAACAGTCAGTGTTTACTGTATGTAACAGTCAGTGTTTAATGTATGTAACAGTCAGTGTTTACTGTATGTAACAGTCAGTGTTTAATGTATGTAACAGTATTTACTATATGTAACAATCAGTATTTAATGAATGTAACAGTCAGTGTTTACTGTATGTAACAGTCAGTATTTACCATATGTAACAGTCAGTATTTACCGTATGTTACAGTCAGTGTTTACTGTATTTACAGTCAGTATGTATCAGTAACAGTCAGTATTTACTGTATGTAACAGTCAGTATTTACTGTATGTAACAGTCAGTGTTTACTGTATGTAACAGTCAGTGTTTACTGTATGTAACAGTCAGTATTTACTGTATGTAACAGTCAGTATTTAATGTATATATAAGTCAGTATTTACTGTATGTAACAGTCAGTGTTTACTGTATGTAACAGTCAGTGTTTACTGTATGTAACAGTCAGTATTTACTCTATGTAAAAGTTAGTGTTTACTGTATGTTAAATGATCAAAATACAAGCTTAAGCAGTGTCATTGTTCATCAGTAACTTTGTCAGGATGTTTTATTTGTTAATGTTTTATACATTGAATCTAAATAATTTTAAACCAAATTTACTATTGATAAATTACGAATGGAAGTGCCTCGATTTCTAAAACTTATTTAGGCAAGTGTGACTTGCTGATATCGTTACATAAAATTCATTAATTTATTAAATGTAGGATTTTTTCCCACTTTACTGATGACAAGTTGACAAATTCCTAACCCAATATCAGATGAACTTAAAAACTTAACATTAAAAACCATCAGAATTGATCTAGGATCATCACTAAATAGCTACACATCCATTAAATCATGATGACTGGACTATCCTTTACAACATTCCTGATCTCTATTAGTGCCATACATACAACATCAGACAGCCACACACCTGTACAATAAACTATTGATTAGGAGGACGCAGAGTAATAAAGATCTGCTTGACTTTAATGTTTAATCAAACCTTTTGTTTTACTGCTGTGATGGTTGCTGGCCTTGTAGTAGCAACAAATATTGATGTAAGTAGCTATAGGCTGATATTTAGCAAGTAATGAGACGTGTTATTAAATATGTGTTTTCTGAAAAGAGCTTTCATTTACTTAATAATCTTAAAGAGCTTTCATTTACTTAATAATCTTAAGTCCACAAGGTTTACCTCCCTTTAATTTGATAGAAGTGTCCTCCGAGAAAGCAATGAATGTTTCCTACCTGACAATATGTAGTAAATCACAAGTCATTATTCAGAAGAACTGTAATAATATGCCATTACAATACTTTCTCTAAAACATAAAGTTTGATTTATCTGAATATTTATTCTTATTATTTTCATAGTCAGTTTAAAATTTATCATCCAATTTAACGGTGAGGATGCTTGGTATCACTATTGCTTGTAAACTATAGTTATATGTATGACAGTGTAACAATATGTTAATGCCTACTGTATTGTTGGTTGACAGTTTGGTGATGAGTTTATCACTTTGTACATTGTATCAATTGTTACACAAATAAGCTTAGCATGTAAACAATACAAAGATTTTAATTAAAACTCCACCATACTTAGAGAATTATGGTAGTCAATCTATATATTAAACCAATGATATATCCAAAAGGAATTGTAGAAAATTGGCAGTTATGTCCGACAGACAACATAAAATTTCTCATGCTTGCAATAAGCAAGGGAATAGTCAGGGTGTAGGTTACCATGGAATAATTTAAATGAATCAAGTAATGGCACATAATTCTGTGTTATTCAGGCAAGTTTGAGCAATGTAGTACTTTCAGATTCCCAGGTTTGGACTGCTCAAATCACTGAAGCATGAAATAAAGGTCTGTCAAACCCTCTCATTGCAACAATATCTTGAAGCACATATATGCCTTGTTTCACTTATAGTTTTGAAGACATTGACTGTGCAACTCATCTAACAAAATTTTTATCTAGGTAACTTGAGCATCAAATCTAGGTCAAATTAAGTAGCTGTGACCTGCATTTCATAGAAACTCCTTAGTTTAACCACTTGACTGAGTGTAAGTCCATGTATCACTTACATGGTTTCTGAGATATGGACTGACAACCAACTATAGCTCATATCAATTTCCATGATGAACTGTGTAAAGTGGAAGATAATCATTTACATATATACCCTATAGCCAGTTATTTTCATGTGAATGATATTTTTGCTATTTTGCAGTACATTAACACAATTGAAAAATCTAATCTGTGAAATTATGAGACACTTGTGTATAACATTTTCTTTTACACCATGATAAAGACATTTTTCATTCATTATTATATAATTTGATCATTTCAACAGAATTTGTGAAAAATTTGACTCCTGAAAATTACCAGATATACAGCATCAAATTTTACCTCTGGTTTCAGCCCACAGCTAAGGTACAAAAAACTTCAATTATCCCAGCGAGCCACTGGATGATATAAATTTGTAATGTTTGATCATTTAAACATTGCTACATCATATGTGATTTTGGTTCATTCAGTAAAAGTATTGACACCAGCATCCTTGATAATCCAGTGGATTCATTTTCACTCTCTGCACCCCTGGAACATGTCATGGTAAAACTGAAGGTTCCATGTGGGACACCTTGTGGACAAGATGAAAAGACTAGGTTTGATCCTTTTATATACATTAAACAAATCTTGCGGTTGCATAACAGTATATTGTAATGGTTTGAAGTTGGATGTCACGCCTTTGTAATCTTCAAAAGGAGCGTATTAGCTTGTGATTGGTCAATTTTTTCCCCTGGAACCAATCAAATTACTTTGCTTGTATCTTTAGTTTTGCCATGACATGTTCAAGGGGTGTAGAGAGCGAAAGTGACCCCTGGAGTATCAAGGATGTGACACCAGATGTGTTTAATGTTGTTAATCTTCAGATATTCCAATGCATGGGGTTGTTTTTCATTTTGATATGCATGTCTGTATGTAACATGTTGAAATGTAAAGGTGTATATATTTACATACATCTGACATTGACATTAATTTCACGATCTACCAAGTACCTGTGATTAATATTAACATCAAAGCACAAAAATAGGAACTGAACAACATGGCAGTACAGGCTTTAACAAATTTTCATGCCAGATATCCATTAGTTTTCACCTGTGTATTAAACAAAATTTTGACCTATTGTTACCCATTCTTAATGAATATTCACCACATCAAGTCACTTGTGATGTATAATGCATTTCAGAGCCTTTTATGTAAATTCACATATAACACTCAACAAAAAATTTAAAGTCCACTTGCCATATCCATTCCAAGCCACTACATGTAAATGTTCACATACACATTATCTTGTTTTAAGTTTCAATCAAGCATAAACCTGCACAAACAAACTTTACCTAATTACAATTGTGTTAAATAAGGTGTTAGGTTGTAGACTTAACGACCTAGTAAACGTCCATTTCACATTTGCATAGGTGTAATTTTGTCTACACTGTAATTTCCTTAAAATCACCAAACAACTTTATTCCATGGTAATGTATAGGACAGAATAAATACATGAAAATCAGCAACAACAGTTGGGTTCTCTGCCCAGACAAATCAATTCCTTTGGTTTATGCCTAACAAACAAACACTTACCACAAAAAAAAAATCTACTGCTTTCTAAAGAATTATAATGGTTACACCATCAGCCATATTGTGAATTTTTTAAATGGTTTTGAAAAATCAGAGTAAACTTACACTATGTTACCTTTCAAGTCCTGGGTTTCTTCCCTTGGATAATGAATTGCAAGTCTAGTAAATGTGATTTACTTACTATATGTAATGCCATCTCATCATGAGGGTATTCCATCTTACACCATCCTACATTCATTTTGAAGGTAAAATGCTCTGTTTTGCAAATACTATCTAAATCTTGCTGATAACACTTTGGTGAGTGTAACAGATTCTATATTGACCTTAAACTTTCTATCAGTTTGATTACTTTTGTGACCTTGAACTTATATTTCTTATGACAGATCCTCTGCTGACCTCTTTGATTACTTTGGCGACCTTGACCACAATCTTACCTTTACAGATCCTGCAGTGCCTTTCAGTTTATTCTCCAACAGTGCCACACGTTCATTAGCCTCCTTTTCCAGTTCCTCCACTGTGGACACAAGCACCTCATTCTGTTCACTTAGATCGTTCACATAGGCCTGCAGCACCCTAACACGTGTCTGAGAAAAAAACAAAACATATTTTAATGTTTACATTTGCTACATTTAACAAATAAGAAAGAAGTAATTTTAAAAAAATCATAAATTATCAGATATACTTGAAAATCTAGTGATTTAACCTCAGCTGATGCGATGATCAATTGTTATTTTCTTTACTGAATATCAGTACCTCAATATTTTCTTGTGTTTTAGCAAAAGCAATATCCATACTATGAATAATAAAGATGCTAAATGCCAATGATATTCATTCCTGTACAAATTCTGGATAAGAAAGGTATATAGGTTAACGTTACAAAATAATGAAAATATTACTTTGACAGGGAGTATTTTCACTTTCTATGAATATCGAACCCACAGCCTGCAAATTAAGTATTTGATTAACTACATTGGAATATCTATTCATTTTTAACTGATCATCGATAAGCAATTTTAACCCGATTTCCTATCACTAAATGATATTGTGAGCATTGGAATAGCTATGATACACTATTAACATGGATGTTGACAGATTATGATTTCGGTAATGAATCATTTATTTTGTTTCAGATCCATAATCAATGTAAGACAGCAATAGGTGGAAAGATCAGAATATAAGCATTGAACAGTTTTCTTATGGCAGAACAATCCAAGTTTAAATTATATAAATGTGTTATATTTCAAATTAAAATTGACTCCCTAAAAGACCTAGGCTTTAGGCCTATATCAGTAATAAGTATTATCATGTACATATACTATCTATAAAACATTTTCTTTAAAGTTAAAACAAAAATTTCTAAAGGCTTGCCATCCAGAAGATATCAAGTTGGACTTTACTAAACATTGTGTTAATCATGACAGCAGCACCTTTAATCTGACCATATACCAACAATTTTACAGTGTCTAGATGACGTTGATCCCAGCATTAACATTACATCAACATTGCTTATTATTTTTTCACTATGTTAATAAACAAGCACACCAGGTTCTTGATAATTTAGTGATTCAAATTATATTCTGTTATATTTACAGATACTGTTCTTCCAATACTTTGTTGATAATTTGTCAATAAGTCTTCAACTGTGGTAATTCAATCACTATAATTGTAACAATTATATTACTAGAAAATAAAAGGATTAAAAAAGTTGTGCACTTGCATAGGACCTTGTAATCTATCTCCATGGTCGAAGATAGAAAATGATAAAAAAAATGTGTTCAAATTTAAATTCACCATTCAACAAAAGCAATTCCAATCGATCTACAACACATCTGCACAAACATCTCAAGTGTTCTACTTGTACTTTAATACGTGCTGTAAAACTGCATACCTCAAACTTGAAAACTGACCATATATATTGTACACCAAAGGCAAAGCGTGAAGTAGGTTCATATTACAATCAACAAGCTGTTACTACTGTACGCTGATTCACAATCAATAAATCAACCAGACACATCCTCCCAAGATAGCATTGTCACAGTGGTAAATGATCTAGGCCCACACACAATGCTTAGGTGTGATAGGTATATTGTACATGTGTAATCTTTTAACTAATGTCAAAACTGAGCGTGTCCAGCTGGCCTTTAATCATTTCATTCTTTGATGTAAGACATGCATGACACAGAAATGGTTGCTGTTACTGATATTCAAAAGATAAGCCAGGGCTCAATATAATATTAAGACCCTGTGGTTAACTGTCGACCTTGCTATACAAAGTTGATGATAACAATAATATTTTACATATTACAGGTTAATAATATGTTAACAAATCAGTGATAAATTCGGAGTCCTGTACTCATAGAACTTTGATGGTGGTCATTAAATTTCTTCAAATACCAGAGTTTTACGCTGTGGGACCCATTAGTTTTACCAATAAAGTGGAAATGGGCTATGGAAATAAATTGTAGACTGATTACTGTGATTACTATGAGTGTCATGAACAGCATTGGAATCTTCCTAATCATTTACAAATCTAGAATCTAAATTTGATTTGATTTTGCCTTGATCAGGAATGCACTTATTCAAGAAACATTTTATTTTCAACACAGAGAATGTGTCAGTTTTACCGAATGTGAATTTATAATCCTCTAAATCGTGTCATAACCTTCTAAACAGACCCATGAGACCAGAATATGACAATGTTGAATATGACAAATTCTGAATCTGATGTGCTTCTGACATCTGCCAAATAGTAAAACATTACATATTTAAGATACACATTTTACACTTTAACGGTTTCAAACAGATACCATACCTTTTGTGTGTCTTCTCCACGACGTTCGGCATCATCAAGTCGCTGCAACCTGTTTTCATACACTCCCTTGAACTCCCCGAGAAGGTTCTGCATCTGTCCACTGGTCTTCCCACTTGTCACCCTCACCCCTTGTCCGATTATATCCTCCATTTCAAGGGTTACCCCCGATCAAGCTGCTCTTAGTTTTTCTCTTGTCTATATTCAAAAACTGTTACCAGCACCAGTAAATCATATCTCACCATCCTAAGTAATATTTCATGATGAGTTGTTGCAAGCTTCATCGGAGCGGAAGACAGCCCTAGTAATCCAACACCAAGAACTCACAGTAAGCTTGAATTTCATTGGATGGTTTCGAAATCACATGGAAAAGTGATCCAATAGTAACACTTCTACTTTTAGCCCAATGTTTTGATTTTGCACATGGGATTTATATTATTTTTGGCATTTGAAATGTCATGTTTTCTTTTAATATTCCACTAAAAACAGACAGTGTCATTTTCCTCAGTTACACTTCACACTTGTTATACGCGAAAATTCGGTATTAAAGGTGATTTTATCATGATAGTAAATGATGAACTACGTGTGCCGGGAAACCGTTGGTGCAAGTTTTGACACGACCATTCGCGAGTGTTGTTGAGAGTAAGCTTCACGCTGTGGTGATCAGAGCTAATAGACGGAAATAATGGATGACAAACGCGTGTAATAACAAGGCGAACTCAAATGTTTTCTTAGGATCAAGCTGATTAGCCTTTGTTACCGATTGACAAGCACGTGTTTTTGTTGGAAATAGAATATTAATTAGTCTACATATTGATCTTCCACTACTTTCATTTTCACTTGATCGATCTTAAATTAATAGATTACAGTACATGTAATAATTTTATAATATATCGTAGGTTAGTACTTTGCCGGATACTAATTCTCGCCAATGTATGATGCAAAATCATGTTTAATTGCGAATTGATATGTGACACTTGAAATATTTGAAGTCTGTGTTATTGTTTATTATAATCTCACTGACTGATCATAATATTCACACACTATGTATAATCAAGAAGTACACACGTATGTCGATTCTCTGAAACTGAGCATAGAAGAAAATTGGAAGAAAAAAAAAGAAAAATAAATACAACTTGGTGGAAAATCTCCGTCCGTAAACAATGTTTGTTATCGTTATTTCGTAAGGAGTGCTGGATGGATATTTCTCATATGTAAGTTGCCCTTTGTCCCTAGTTGTGCTCGTTTGATATTGGGTGGAATTAGAAAAACAAAAGGGCAGACATTCGGCCATCTTGGATTTTGATTTTGAAAGTTTGTTATCGCTATTTCTTGATAAGTTGATTTTGGGTGGAATTAGAAAAACAAAAGGGCAGACATTCGGCCATCTTGGATTTTGATTTTGATAAGTTTTGGATGGATCTTTCTCAAATTTCATGGGTAAATTTCCCTAGGCCCCTGGTTGTGTTGAATTTGGGACTGATCCAAACACCAAAACGCCCGACTCAAGTTGAACAAAATAAAACATTATTTTTGTGGTTTACATGGACAGGTGTGAAATATAGACATCTCGTTCACGTGCTAACTTCTTATGATCGTCCTATAAGATTTAACACTTTACTATATATACGAAGAAAGCAGGGGCGTAGCTTCCATCGAAAGAAAAAGCCCGGGCTTACATATAAAAAAAAATCCATGCATAGAGTATGTCGGACAAAATTACATAACTAAGGTTGAAAATAAATATCAGGGGTTGAAGTTTGTTGTTAAATAGATAGAAAAATTGTCTCAGGAAACGATTCAAAACATCTTTGAAATCATGAAATTCATTTTCCGTCGGGGGCTTTGCACCCATAATACCCCACCAGGACCCTGCTTTGGACCCGCTGGGGGCCTCGGCGGCCCCAAGACACCGCGCCGGGGCTTACACATTTCTGCTAGGCTAGATTCGCCCCTGGAAAGTATCTGATTTGGCCGGGGGCGTATGGTAATGACACTCCTAGATTGATTAAAACAATTCAAACTGCGAGAAGATATAGAATTTGAAACTACATTTGAACAGAATAATTCATTAATACTGTAGCAATTAATATTTGAAGATTAACAATTGGAAACTCTTGATCAAGGATTCGGATCGGAAGAAATCTAGAACATCTACTGTTAACTATGATAAAGAGCAAAAACAGAGGAGAGAAGGGGAAAATTCAACCTAAAAATTTTGATAAAGATCAAACAATGATAATTCTTAAACGCACAGGGTTACCCTACAGCATCATACCTACCCTTCCGCAGTGCACAACTGGGCGCTGAATGCGTATAAAGCGAGATAACTTTTATATTGAACATTGCTCGTGCTTGCCTCATTTATATTTAAGTAAGAATTTTTTTACTTGAATAGTTATAAGTCAGTTATTATATTGTGTATACCAGGGCTTTCAATTTTTATGCAGCAATTTAACTACAGCACTTAGTTCTCCTTATACTACAACACGAATCTATTTTGGTACTCTACGCCACTCTAAAAAATACCCAAGATTTGTCTAGAAATGTCATCTTGATGGGGAGGGGGGTTAGCATACATTGTTGGGAACTCTCAGGGAGGGAGGGGGGGGGGTGTTAGCATACGCAACGTTGTTGGGAACTCTCAGCAGTCTTAGGACCAACGTTATGGGGTTCGTTCACTTTGTGGGGAATTTTCTAGTTCCCCACAATTACATATGGTATATTTTCGTGATCCTGGTGTAAATCTGAACAAAATGAGGCCAAACATGGAAAATTCCTTATAATACGTATCATGGACTATCACTTCACCGTAAACCGACTGTCTAGGAATCATGGGTAATTACCCTTTCGGTACCTCTTTGCCATTTTCTTAGATGCTGTATTTCTTGGCGAAAAAAATAGCGGGAAAATATGTATCGCTTTATGGGGAAGAGTTACAAAAAAGTCTCACTGCTATCAAGTTATCTTTCTACATAAAATACATATACCTATAAGTAAGAATAAACAAAATACAAATTTCAAAATAGTATATATCCGGATTTTGAAGTAATTTAATCAGTAATTGATCTAACATAAAATGTTAAATAGTAAATGGGTAGTAAGAAGGATGAGTTGAGTCAACAATTCCATAATAATCCTACAGACACCCAATAACGCCTCTCTTCAACTTATATTTGTCCCATTCCAATCCTTCTGGTTATAATTCCCAGTACTTTTCATGGCTGATGTTATTTCACTCAGTACACGTTTCGGTTTATTTTGCATATACACGTCTCCACAATACAATTTTCAAATCTTCTTTTCTGCTTTCTCGCAGCCATAAGTGTTATTGTGTTACTATTTTTTTTTTCGTTCATACTGGGTATCAGCAGTTCGATATCATCATCTTTTTATCGTCACATGCATATAAACTCTTAACATACTCCTGTTCTTTTCTCTGTAGTTCCTTATACGGTAATTGCAATGTATTTGAAAATATTATCAAGTGATTATGACCGCAATTCCCATTATCTACTTACTCTGTTTAGAGTCATACATCTCCTTCATGAACGTTGATATTCAGAGCCTCTTGCCAAAAATGACCGGACTTTCACGGTCCTTATCACCACTGTAGATCCGATAGATTTGGATATGGAATATCGGGGGTACGATTGATGCCTCCACCTCCGTTGTTGCACTGAAAGCAAGACCTGTTCTAGAAATGGGACAGACGGATTGATGGAGGGACGGAAAGTGATACCGCATTAGAAATCCATTTTTCCATGGTTTTATGCTCAGCTATGTTATTCACTAGTTATTATTACATACAGTGCGCTTTGTTGAGAACAGAGACGTATGTAACACGCGTACGTTTCTGCTGAGAAGCACGTGATGGATATTGGACAAGTTTGACAGGTGTGTTACTGTGCACGTGCTGAATTCTGGCAGGTGTTCTGAGTAAAGCATGATTCGTACGACTTGATGTATACAAATTGTATCGGCGACAGAGACGTTGTACAATTTTTGAGAGTATAAATCGTTACCGGTACAATCGAACCAAACAACGGGAAAAGGGAGGAAGAATGATGGGAACAAGGGAGTGAAGGAGGAGAAAGAGAATAACGGTTGGAGATGCATTTCATCTGAAGCTTCCTGCTGGCACGCTCTCTAAACTGACAGATTGTGTGGCGATTGAAACAACTGTCGGCATTTTTATACCAGTTACAGTAACTATAAAACGCCACATGTACTTGGGAATGCATACAATATTTCGAGGATATTTGTTACAAGTCTCTTGCTCAAATCGGAGTCTTATATCACTGATTTAAATGTATTAATCGACAAACTTCTATTTCTCGATACGTGTAAATCGTCACTGAATGCCATCTACTGGAAAGGTCGTCTGAAAACTTTTTGGAAAACTAGAAAATGAAAACGGTTTTTGTTAAGAATGATTCAATCAAACTACAATCACATAGAATTCCAACATTTAGATATATTAGATATATCCTTTCCATATCCTGTCGTATTTATATATCATGAACACACAGAAATCGTAATGTTAAAGATATCCAAAGACATTATAGAATATACATATATCTTTTTAATGTATAATAATGCGTTATAAAAAACATGTTTAACCAAACAGTGACTAGTGGCTTGTTAGACATGATAATTAAATACATAATGATTAGCTAAGTGTCATAGGAGGAGTGAGGAGAGGGATGGGGCAGGGGTTAGGGTTGGGGTGGGGATCTGTTATTATACCAATCTGACAACAGTGCAGTATGCTTTATAATGACTTATTCAAATTATTAATCTACAATGTAGATTGATAAATCATAGGTATTTTGTTATGTACAAACAAGACTCACTGACGGACTGGGAAAGATGTGTAGACAGATTCTTTACAGACATACCAAATTGAAAGAAGCACGACGAGGTTGAAACTAGTTTTTAAAATGTTTCAGTCGACATATTGTGTATACCACACATATAACATGTAACTGGGACGATTAGTGAAAATCGGTGACATCTACTCATAATTTCTCCAAGCACACTCTCACACACACATATGTAATACATATAGTGCGGATTACAATTTGAAGTCTTTGTGTTCTTTTAGTTACAAACATGTACTCTGTAACTGTCTCTTTATTTTCACCATATATATAGATTATATTGGTATCGCATATTTAGCCAAATATATTGCTTAATATAAGGAACTATATTGTGTCCAGAATTTAAACCGTGTCCATTCCTTTGTTATATACACAA